CTTCAGGCTCATGCCTGGAACGGAGTGGGGGGAGAATCGCACCGATTCGATTGGCTCTTTGACCCGTTGCAAAGAAAGAGGAAGGCCAGGAAGCCAGGCTTTCCTTGGGACCCCCAAATTCCCTCATGAAAATTGATATCAAATTCATCAAGCTGAAAGAGGCATTGGCACCCTTGCGCTAAGAGTTTGGGAAAGAAAAGCCCGGCCTGAACACATCCAAGCCAAAACAATGCCACCCGCCCTTCCCAAAACCGCGCACGCGTGCACGCGCGCGCGCATGTTTTTGCGTGCGCGCGCGCGCGCGCCTCAGCGCTCATGAATGCGGGGCCCACCCGCGGCGAACCGCCGCGCACCGCCGCGCACCGCCGCGAACCGCGGCCCTCGCGGCCGAACTGAGCCCAGGCGGATCCGACGCCTTCCCAACCGCCCTCCGCTTCGCAGTTGAACCCCAAAACCAGGAACGCCTGGTTTAGAAATAAACAGGGGTTGATGAATATCGACAGTACCAACCAGCATTCTTTGGACTGCCACTGGTGCACATGACAAGCTTTTGACATGTGAAGCGAAACTTTGCGGAGGATCACTAAATGCTCCACGTTGGCTTTTAGAGATATCGATGCAGCATGGCCGTGCGTTTTACATGAGCCGCTAAGTGCATAAGCTCCTTCACATGCGAGTTTCCACAACTGGGACATGTTTCGGCTAAAACCATTTGCATTTTGTTGAACGGAACGATACCCAGAGTTGCACATGTAAGCACATGAAGGAGCTTGCAGTCGAACACACAATCTCCACATCACGGATTTGCTCAGACTTTGCTTCTGTCCTTCACACATTCAGCACGAGAGGCTCATCAAGCAGAAGATCGTTGTATAGTTGTTTTTTTACAAAGAGCCAAAGAAAAGAGAAAGAAAGTCTCACAGCCTTCTGTCTACCAAGTCTCGCAAACATGACACAGGGCAATCGGCGGCCCTTTTCCGGCCGCTGGCACTGAGTCCATCTGGCGAGAGGAGGTGCCTCCCAGCTGTGGCGAATTCGGTTGCATAGGCCGAGGTGTCTGTACCTTTCCAAAAGGGGGTACCTTATCCGTTCCTTCCAGGGATCCTTCTTTCTAGAAAACCTCCGGAAACCCAGGCAAAATAGCTGGTTTGTGAAAAGAACGATGGTAGAAATAAGGGGTACCCGCAAAAAGATGACGAGCCATATAAGCCTGTACCGCCAGAGTCGTACACCGGCAATGCGGAACCGCAGGTTTCTTCCGCCGCTTCCGCTTCCGGCCCGTCGGGGGCGCCTGGGAATGCGATTGGAGCGATGTCCACCATGGAAAAATTCTCAAACGGTGATATCACCATTTCGGGTCGGAAACAGGAAAAAACAAATGGAACAAAAAATACCAAAAGGGGAAAACAACAAAAGGGTCAATCGTGACCAAAAGTGGGCCAAGGGAAAACCAAAGGTTGAAAGGTCAATTAGCTCCGGGCAAGTGAGGATCCCAGACAGAGAAAAGTCAGACAGAGGGAAGTGGTCCTCAGGGATCCCCCAGGCTACGTTCCCAAATGAATTTTCATACCGCCCAAATGACACTAGTCAGATAGAAGCATTTGTTTGACTGTTTGTTTTTTGCCGGTGCCACGAAATCAGGTTGGTTGGCAGGTGTATTAAAGGCAACATGAACAGCTTGGGTTCTCCCTTTGACAGGCGAGCAACCATGCAAGTGGGAGTTGCTCATTAGGGGGGTGTTTGCTATATGAACAACCCGACTAACAGTTTGGGTCTGAGTAGGAAAACTTCTTGGCCCGCTGCATGCGGGCGAGCCGCGACGCGCCGAGGATTTGTCCTGCACAGTTCACGCTTCCAAATGGTCAAGAGACAAACACTGACGACGGCAACAGGCGTCCATCGAGGCCATCAATGTCTCTCAATATGGTTGACGCAAGTCATCTCCGGCTCGCCGGATTGGTGGAAAGCGCATACCATGGTTGAGGCCACTGACTCAGTAGTATCCCAAAAAAGCCTTTGCTTAACGGTTGGTTTCTTTTTACTCGCCCTTTAACTGTCAACCACGTGGGGGGTGAACTGAAATGGGTGCAAGGTTGTTCCTGTATCAGCCCAACATGGAGCAATTCCCGACGGCCTTCTGCCGTTTCTTCTACTATTCGAGGGGGTGTCTCCCAACAGAAGGGGCCCTCCTTGCCACTTTTTTATAAAGGGGAAACCTATTCAAAAAAGGCTTTCTGGACGGCGCTGCTTAAAGGCGTGCCCATAACTCTTCGCTTGCATTCAGATTCTTGCCATATGGGTGTCTTTTTCAGGGAAATCCTTTTTGCTTGGTTTAACCGGAGACCAAAACGGAAAACCGTTGCGCCAATTTGAAAATTTTGGAGCCCCGGTCGTCTCTTAAAAATAAACCCGAGCCACCCATCTGTAGTTTCTTTGACGCTCCTGGTGCATGGCCGAAGCAACTTGGTTTGGGTCTTTCCCTTTGGGTAAATGGTTGACATGCAGGTTTTACATGTACCCATCATGTATTCAGGCACATCTCTCCACGCGACGAGGGAACCTCTGGTCTGCACGGCTGACCAATGGCGATGACAAACCCTGCCGCATAGTTGTCTCGCACATTTCTCAACAGCGTGGGAGATTGAGCTACAGCGGCAACCGTTGCATCAAACAGCTCAACAACTGGTTTCTTTAAAAAGCTGATGTTTTTCGGAGTTCGCGCAGGTTGCCGCACAGCGTTGAGACTCCTCAGGAATGGTGCAGTCAGTAAACGATATGAGAGGACTATATGGGTTGGCCGAGCAATCTGTGTCGGAAGCTTCAAACGTCAAAGAGCTTGTCCATCATGCCGCCTGCGCAGGCTGAGCTCTGCAAGATGCCACGTGCTCAAGCAAGAACGCGCCCTTTGGCATGGACACACTGCTTTCTAGGCTGGGTCATCATAGCCGTAAAACCATACAGTGCATCTTGCGTTTGAACCATCCATGGAAGCAATGTCAAGCGAGAATTTGGCAAGCGTGCGAATCGCATTGACTTGCTTTACTCAGTTTACCCACGCAGGACTGCCGCGGCCCTCACCAATCACTAAGGTTGAATCACAATGTGGGTCCCTGTTGATCCTCCTAGTGGCCTGGATTTCCCACACAACCTTACGTGACTCCAGTAGCACATGTTATTCAGTACCCCATGCGGAAGTAAGTGACCTGAGTAAACCGAGTTGTTGGGTTTGCTGAATCTTCCCACTTTGCACTCCCAAGGCAAAGTCACGCTTTTCCAGCAATGTGAGGTAATGAAGGTGTCAATAGGGTGCTGAGCACTTCCTTTCGGCAATTCATGCTCAAATCTTCCAGGCTCCCCGATGCGAGTATTGCCAGAAAACGTCCCCAAAAGCCCAGCACCTGCTTCTCCGTGTTTGGCTTCGTGCCTTTGGGTTGTGTCTAAAAGAAACACACCCATGCTGTTACACCCCCAAGATGAGTCTCAAATGGCTGAAAGGCCGCAAACAAAAACCGAAGATGTTGGGAACCCAAACATGGGCTAAGTTCCCATCCCCAAAGAACAACAGATGGATTGTGTGTGGCAAACCTCCAGGTCTCCTCCTAAATCAACGGACTTTGTGGACAACAACAAACCGGTCGGGTCCAACCAGCTCCCAGGTCCCAACCGCCTGCTTCCTCGGAGCTGAGCACGCCGGCCTTGGCCGCGCCCCGCAGCGCCTCGATGCGCGTCAGCACCTTGGAGGCCGCCGGGGACAGCTTGGTGCCTCGGAGCGAGGCAGACGCGACGAGCCAAACGAGGACGCGGCCAAGCGGAGCTCCGACGGAGCTGGGCCCCCCCAAAAAAATGGTGTTCGGGGTTCCGTTTTGGTGTCCCCTTGAAACCAACCCAAAACCTCAAAACAAGACGGAACCATTTGTGAAAATGGACCCCACAAAACCCCAATTCGGTACCTGGACCTCAAGTGGTCAAGGCAAGCCTCAAGGAAACCAGACATGTCCGGCGTAAATGGGCGGAGCCCCGAACTAAGACCGACTTGCCATCTCCGTTTGCGGAGAAAAGCCGTTGAGCCCATGTCGGCGGCCAGCGCACAAAGCTGCTCTGTGCAAGAGGGAGCCTCGTTTCAAGGAAATGGAAACCAGGCCTTGTGGGCCCTTTAGGAATTCAGAGAAACTGACGGAAACCTGCGGAAGGGGCACTCAAAGTGCTCTGTGGCTCTGAGTGTTTCCCCTAAACGAGCACCCAGATCAGAAAATCCAACCAGAAAGCAAGCGCCAGGTTGAAAGCTTGAGATTCGGGCCATCCTTCCATTCTCATCATGCACATGTGTACATGGCTTCCCTTTGAAGAGGGTCACAAAAGGATCACGGCTTGTTTGTTGCGGCAGAAAAGGGTTACATCCCCTTTTTGAACCAGCCGCATGTCACACGTGTCCCCAAAAAAACCGTTCGAAGAGGCTCTCACCGAGTTTGCTCCAAGGAACATGCGGGTCTTAGGGATTAGGTGTTGCCGAGCCATCCCAGGAGTCGCGGCTTGCTTCCCTCTAATTGGTGGTTTGGAGCTAGTGTGGTGTGGATAGGAGGCTAGCTTCCCATCTACAGTACCCTTCGGCTACCTGAATGCGGTTTGCTCGCTTTTAGCCAGAACTTGGACCTGCCAAAGCAAATGGATCTGAAAGATTCACATGTCGGAGTGCGGAAACGGACAGAACCAGTGAAGCTCCGGGTCCAAACGAAGGGGTAAGAAGATGCAAAAGCGGTCCCTGCTCCAGTCTGGGATGCAGGAACAAACATGTGTCTTTTCACGGATGCCTAGGTTCATTCCAAAGACTGGCGCAACATGGATACCAAGACTTCTCAACTGATGTCTCAGCCTCTGCAGTCTGTCTGTGTCGCCCAGCTTCAAGCTTCTTTGGGAGAACCCCGGTGGTTGGTTTGGGTGCGTCTCAAAATGGGAATCGGAACCCCCAAAGCAGGGCTTCAGTGTCCTTTCGGTTTCCCGATTAAAAGGCCACCAAAAGTGTCCGAGCCTCAAACAGGACACACCCATCTCCTTTTTGGCTTCCCGTGGAAACCAGCGGCAAAGTGGCGTGTGCGACCAAGGGAACACCCCAAAAGGGACCACGGGACCCGCCGCATCTGAGGCGAATTGGACTGGGCCAAGTGTAGATGTGATACTGGATGCAGTGAACCAAAAGGTACCTCCAAGTAGTGATGCTCAAGAGTGATCTTGACAACTTTACGGGACCCAGGTTGACTTTGGAAGACTGCATCATTGAAATGTATTCCGCATGTAACGCCCAGGCCACCGCGTGAATCGGTCCCATTAGTCTGACTTCTAAATGGTGAAGGCCCCCAAAATGATAGGTTTTGGGATGCTGTTCGAGGGCAGTGGGCGTTCAGGGGTCCGTTCAGTGTCCCTTCAAGAAAAAGGGAAGGGTACCCTGCCAAGGAGCCTTGATTGTCAAGGATCGCCAGCGCTTTCTGGCCCATCAGGTTACCCAGGTAAGTGGCCTGCGTGGGCGGATTGCTGATAGTGACCTTTGATCACGCTTTTGCCTAAACTGGAGGCTCTTTCTTGCTTCTTGACATGTTTCTTCAGTGTCGTGCCTTTGGCCCCGCCTCCACCAGATCCGCGACAGGGATGTCGAAAAAGCTGGCGTTGGGGGTGTCTGCCTTGCAATACGCTGGCAGGCACTTGGAGATGCCCACGCAGGAGCAGTTGAACTCACCCACGATCCATTTGTCGATGGTGCACGGGGTCCCAGGGGCGCCCGGGTCCGCGTTGATGAAATCTCCCGTCCACCACAAGGGCAGTGGCTCATTCGGGAGATCCAGGCTCTGCATGAGCGTGGGGATGGAGGTCTTCAGGAAGTCCTTCCAAGGAAGGGCTGCATGCTGCTTGAACCAGTACCGTTTGTGTCCCCCAAAACATGCTAAGGCAATGCGTGCCTTCCAGTTTACCAAAACAATGGGGGCATGTCCAAACCACTTCACCCAGACCTCGGAGAGCTGCTTGAACTCTGGGGCATCCGGCGTGTAGAAGGTGTAGACAGAGCCTGTGCCTCCTACCGCGGAGATACCTCCAGCCTTTGGCTTCTTGTGGATGATGCCAGTGCAAGTATCCCCAATCATGTTCATGCGCACTTCACCCTCCACAATCCTTTGCCAAGCACATCAAGCAGCTACGAAAAGAAAACATGTTTAAGCTAAGGGGAAATCTTAATGAGCGAAAACACAAAGCTTGCTGTTGAAGCCAACAAATCCGAGGGCAAAAGCGCTGATCCACTAGCTGACCGCCTGCAGCTTTGCCGCCCTCTAAGTACTTGCCCACACCGATGGTGTCCCACTTCCCCGACTTGGCGGTGCGGCCGTTCACACAGAACTCGACGAACTCTGCAACGGTGTGAGTCTCTGAGTGGTTGTCGCAAGCCTCCATAAGCTCCAACACCTCCTCACACGCGTGAAACACACAAATTGTGCAGTACCTCTTTTTCTGTCTCTGCGTCTACAGGTTTGCTTGAAAAGCAATGACATTGGAAACCATGCGTTCCTCATCAGAGCAAAGGCGATCTCCAAAGTTCTTGCAGTAGTTGCCGGACTTCAGCTTGATGATCCAAATGCCCTCACCGCTGGACCCGCGATTCTGCTTGATGACCCGAGGCTGGAAGGCCATGGTCTTCTTGAAGCCGGCTGCAAACTCCTCAGGGCTGTAGTAGGCCAAGGTGTCAGGCAAGCCGATGGAGAGGTTTGCAATCTTGCACAAGGCGTCCTTGGCGCCCATGTTGGTCATCACATCTGGGGAAGGCCACACCTGTTTGCCCTTCTTTTGCAAGGCTCGCATGGCGTCATCGAACTTGATCTGATCTCCTCCCGCTGCATTGATCTGACCAGGGTTGCAGCGCACAATCACAGCGTCAAACTGATCTAGGATCTTGAAGAAGGCATCGTGCTCCTCCGGCACGTAATGCAACAATTGGCAGCTCCTGACTTGGAGAACTGGCCAAAAACGCTTCAATACTTTGAGCCTTAAGTACAATGAGGCGGGTCTCCTTACAACAATGAAAAAGGTAGAGCAATGTCAGACAGCAAAGGCTCATTTGTGATGCAATCATTCCGTTGGCAATCGGGATTGAATCATAGCGATGACCACTGGCGCTCTTGTCGGAGCCACCGAAAGGCTGGTTGGTCACATAGATCTGCACCAAGGCTGTCTTGTACTTGGGGTTCAAGGGCTGTGGCAGCAGCCCAACATCGTCCGTCTTCGCCACCTTGGTGAGTCCTGGCACCACTTGGGGACAACCTGCTGTGCAGATTCATGTCTCACGCTCCAAAGCGAGTACATGAATCCCCCAATAAGAGCCTACTAGTTGCTTGATGCCCATCCCTGCTGTATGGCTCGTGCAACTCCCCAACCATGGCACTGCTCAAACAATGCAGACGGGCCGTCCACTGGCAAAAGGCATGTCCCTGCCTGACACGTCCACCAGCGGGGCAGGCGTCTGGCACGAGCTCGGCTTGGCCCAAACGGCTGCGCCCAAGGCGCTGGCGCCCACCGCCGCAAGCGCCGGCCTCTGCGCCGCGAAGCGCGCTGTGGCGCGGGCTCCGCCCCGGAGCGCTCGGCTGGCGGCTCGGAACGCCATCGCTCGACAAAAGCAAAACAGCTTCAAAGTGCCTGAGCCTTTTCTGCGGGCTAAGCTCGGGGACAATCTCAGCAGACTTCACCCAAAAGGTGTCTCACTTTGTTCGGCCTTGCCAAAGGGGCATCCCATCTGAAAGCATCCTACCAACGAAGAAGATGGCCCCAATTCCATGGACATTTGGGACATACTCAGTTGACGTTTGTCTCAATCATTCCCAATTTTGAAACAGGGAACGTCAGCAGCTTCCAACATATCCCCTTCCCGCACCATCAGCCCATGACCCGCCAACCTCGCCTCCGGCAGTAGTTTCCAGCCAGGTGAACACCTGTGCAAATGCGCATGAAATGCGAAATGCGATAAGTGTAAGTAGGCACGCCACGTCCATGGCCACAGCAGTTTGTCCCCAAATGCCAACAAGTAGGCAAAAGATTCCGTCACTGGCAAAGTAGCCCATTTATCTCTCATAGAAAGGATGCACAACACAAGTCTTGGGCAGCTCCCAGTCTACCATGACACACCTGATCTCTCAGGGTCCGGAAATAAAAGCGAACCTATTCTGACGTTCCTTGCAAATGGATGAAAAGGGAACCAAGAAGGGTTGAAAGATCGGTTTTAGAAAATTGAAACGATGAACCATGTTCGTCTTTGATTGCTGAACCCACGACAAAGCGCAATGTCACCCCAGGCCCTACCCAAAAAAAGCTGCGGTTTTGGGCAAAAATGAAGTGGCTCCTATCCCCAGCACCACAACCTGTTTTGCGATGATGAGGATCAGTGTTAGGGTATGGCGCCCACGAGAAAACAACGGGAAAACCCAAAACTGCCCATTTGGCACTATGTTTGATGATAAAACCACGTGAACTGAACTAAACACACCACTCTCATCCAATTTGGACTGCGAAATTCATTGCTTCGCGCTTTTCTACAAATTCTGCCGTGGGAATAAGAAGGACCGCTGGATATGATGAGCACTTTTCGAGGTCCGAAACGCGCGAGGGGGAAAAAAAAAAGAAAACGAATTTCGAACCACAAAATTCATTGTTTTGCGTTTTTTTTTTTTTACAAAAGATGCAATAACGCTTTTCAAGGTCCAAAACACGTGACACGCAAAATTCGTTGTTTCGCGCTTTTCTGCAAACTCCGCCACGGGAATCTGAAGGACTGCCGAGTACAAGGCTGTCTGCACCACGACATGAAAAGCGCAACGTTGGAAAAGCCAGAGTTGGATCCTTTAAAGGCAACTTTAAAACTTCAGTGTAGGCCACCAGTTTTTTTGCATGGCTGAAAACAGGCAAGCTCACGAAAATTTGACTTGTAATAACGACTGAGTGACAAGATCAAGCAAGCTACAAATTAAGCCTGGCTGCTAGACTTCTGTTGAACACCCATACTAGAAACGAAGAATGAACTGGATTCCAACTCTGAATGGCTTTTACTTTTTTGGGCGCTGGCAAAGTGTAGCGCGCTGGTCTTTGTTGACAGCTTGAATTTGACTGTCAGCTCATCTCTCCAGTTGCAGAGGTGCGCTTTGCTTGGGACAAGTTCAGGATTTGATAAACCGTGATACTTTGTGAAAAAAGCGTGTTGCAGCCATAGCCAAGTCAGTTTGTATTACACTCAGCGCGCAGCAGACTACCGTCTGGGTTTTCTGATGTGCACTTTTGTTTTGACAAGGTGCATGTTGTTTTTGCTTTTGCTTTTGTTGCATCCACAAGCATGTTGTCTCTCTCTTTAGAGGGGTTTCTCCGAACGCACTATAACGCACCTATGGGGGTTCTCACACTCGTCCGTCCAGCGAATCCGCGCTATGGCGACGGCAATGGCAAGCAGTTCAGCACGGCCAATGGATTGCGCTCCCGGGGATCTTCCGCACTTTGCAACCCTACCCAACTCAAAAAAAAAAAACTGTCTCGGGCCCAAAAACCCCCATGCTGCCCATGCTACCCGTGCTACCCAGCTCACAAAGCAGCCAGCAGAGGCATGGGTAGCACGGGTGGCATGAGTAGCATCGGGGTTTTGGAGGGCTGAGGCAAAAAAATGATACCCAGCTCACAAAACAGCCAGCAGAGGCATGGGTAGCATGGGTAGCATCGGGGTTTTGGAGGGCTGGGTAGCATGGGTAGCATGGGTAGCATGGGTAGCATGGGTAGCATGGGGTTTTTTTGGGGCTGAGACAGGCTAACCATGAGCAGAGGCATGGGTAGCATGGGTAGCATGGGTAGCATGGGTAGCATGGGGTTTTCTTGGGGCTGAGACAGGCTAACCATGATACCCGACTCACACGGGGTAGCATGGGTAGCATGGGTTTTTTTGGGGGCTGAGACAGGCTAACCATGATACCCGACTCACACGGCAGCCAGCAGAGGCACGGGTAGCATGGGTAGCACGGGTTTTCCAGTGGTCACGGCTGACAATCAAAAAAATAATTCGGAGTGTTCCAAGAAGGGTGCAAGAGGGTGCAATCCGAAAATCGTGCAACAACAAGGAAAATCGGGCAAAAGAGGGGTACAAGAGTTCGACGAGGCATCTCCCGTCCGCATATTGCCCTCCGCCCCCTATACCCCCCCCTACACTTTTAGCCCCAAATCAAATACACACACTAAAACAACCCATTTTCAACATTCAAATCCAATCACCCAACCAATCCAACATCAAAAAACACATATTCACATACCCATCTTCATTTCTTACCCCATCTCAACATCACCCCTATGCTCATTCAATAACAACAATCAGAACTACATACCACCTCAACAAATCCCACCAAAAACATCCAAGCTACATACCAACATTTTTTCATTCCCAAGATCGCAACCCCAAGATCTCAATAATTTCTCCCTTGATCCAACTTGACGCCCTTTCCCATTTCCAACAAATACGAACAGTCTAAAAAAACAACCCTATGTTCGCCCCAAAAAGTGGCTAACCAATGGAAAAAGGAATATTCTAAGGGCTAACTCAAATCTTGAAAATAATCTGTGTGACATTGGATGGCAATATGCGGATGGGAAAGGCCTATGTAGGAAAGCACCCCCACGGCTTATACGGGAAAAGTAAACCAAAATTACAACATATAAGATCTTGTATGTTGTAACTGTAGTATCATCAAGAACTGAAACATTCATTTCAATAATAGCTAGCCGCGCTTTCATTATCGCTAAATTATTCATCCTCGTCATAGAAGTCTTCCGTGCTTAATATATGGTAAAATCGGATATGCCATTCGGCCTCTGTTCTGAATGGCATCATTTTCAACAGTCCTCTCATTGCGTCGTAATAACCCATTCTCAAGTGTTCTCTTTTGTCATCAGTACTATCAATGAGCCAGAGCTGTTTAAATCTATTTTAAATATCATATATGTAGGAATAATTATAGAACGCTTCCAATCTAAATATATTTCATAATCAGATTTGGTATCATCCAACGCTTCAGTTAAAGTCATTGCCCAGAATGGGTTTCTTTTTACTTTTTCCCAAGTTGGAAAATGGTTTTTAAGAATATCATTATACCTGTAAGGACATAACAGCTATATGACATAATATTCAATCTAATTTCCAATGGTAGATTGTTCTCGCACATACTTTATTTAATGTGTTAAGGTAATATTTATTTAAGCACTTTTTCAGGGAAACTTTTAAATCAAGCGAATTATAATTACAACATATAAGATCTTACATGTTGTAAGTATAGTAAAACTATGGTATCAAAGGCTTTAATCTATGTATTTCCATGGGTTATATTCGTTTCTTCTGTTCCTTCCTTAACTCTTTTGTTGCTTTTACTTTGTCTCTGCATTCCTTACATGTTTTGGAAAATATCTCTTCCATTTTAATTCTATCATACATTTTGAGAAAATCCTGTCTTGGCTTTGCTTCGTCGCATTTACTGCAATGATAAACCATTGTGTATCCTGTTTCTTCTTCGTCATCTGTAGAACTCATAATATTAGTTATGCTAATATGTCTTTAAGCGGATGTTCAGAGAAAAATGTTTTAAGTCAAGACTAAACACCTGTCTCTTCATCACAATCAACTCGGCAATATTCCAGACTGCTGGGCTTAGGTTCTTTGATTTGTTTAGTATTCAATTTGCTCACATAAACCTGACGCTTGTTTTTATATTCACTACTGGTTCGATCTACTTCTTTTACTTTGATAATTGTTTGTTAATGGTTTCTTCTTTTCCATTTCTTGCAATATTTCTAAATATTCTTATTCTGTTCTAAAACCGTTTTTAGTTGTTTAACAATCTTATCGAATCCTTCATCCATATATATATATATATACTATATTATAAAATAAAACGTTTAAAACTAAATGGTGCAATTATGTTAAATCTACTCTTTAGATACTAACTTATGTCCCTGTTAAAACTAACATTAATCAAATGTTCGTTAGTTTCTACCACCATATCACAACCAGTTTTTTCAAATCTTTTATCTGGTTTTTTTTAAGAAAACATACATGGAACACAACTAACCTTAACACCATCTTTTTTATCTACCGTCAATTCATTCTTAAAATTCACAACATAGTTACATTTATCACATTTTATAGCTTTACTTTCACCCTTTGATTTAACACCTTCCGTTGTTTCTTTCCGTGCTTCAATATATGGCATTGGTCTTTCTTTGCTTTTACTCTTTTTCTTTTTTGGCATTTATATTACTATTTACATTTCTATTTTCATACAAATTGCATCACAAGCTTAATTATTTCTAAACAAAATAGCATACTATCTTGCATCTATTATCAATTACAACAACTTGTTCTATATTCTCTACTTCATCTATTATATCAATACAATATTAAATAATAAGATGAAATAATTAAATAATTATTTGAACTTATTATTTCATGCACGGTAGAATATTCGGAGGGCGCAGCAATGGAGTGTTCTTTGCACTGGACAACGCAAGCGAGGTTCAAACTAATTCAAACTAATTAGTCTCAACGCTTATGATTGAAGTTGATGAAAGAGCCTGCTCTACCACGACAAA